CAGCTCATGTTAACAATTAATATTAATAAGTATTACTAAATTAAGGGCCTTGTGATAGCTCCTCATATTTTTAAGCATTGAACCTAAATTCTTCAGGGGTTCACTCCCTACCTTCAACCCCCCAACCTGTTAATGGCCGTTACTTTTGGCTTTTACATACCCGGTCTATTGTCTCAAAAATGCTGGAGGCCGCTGCACGCCCAGTTGCAAAGGCTTCCAAACAAGGAGATGCACTGCCAAGATTTAAAGCTCCTACTATGACACTGAGGAAAATCTGAAACGAAAAGAGAGAGTTTTCATGTGTTTTTGTCAATGTGTATATAGTGCTATCATTTGAGCTATCAATGTGAACTCAGAGATTTCTCAGAAATATTCTTTGACGGGAGTTTGAAAGCTAAATAGCTCTTTGGCTCTTTGGAAAAGCCTGGAATAACTTTTGTTCTGTAAAGCATCTCCAATTTTTCCACTGCTATGATTTAAAAGATTACATTGTTTTTTTACTGAACATCACTCTTCCACAAAGCAGCGCTTGTTTTGGAATGAGTAAGAGGTCTAAGCAAGGCAGCATGTAGCATATAGAAACAAAGTGAGTTAGAACTGTGATATGATAATGCGATTTGTTATATAATCAGCCTTACAATGGTTTTCTGGTTAAAGGGTTGCCAAAAACAATAAAGATCAGCTTGATTGTCCTAGAGCTTGGCACATGCAAAACCAATTTGCTACTACTGCTACTAGTACACTAGTCACTAGGATAACTATGATTACTACTAGTACTACCACTAATAGCAATAATAACAAAGTATGTTTCTAAGTGCTTTATCTGTATTACTTCATTTAATCCTTACAACAGAAGGGGAAACAGACATGAATGGAGGTTTCCTAATTTGCTCTTGGTCACAACATTTAATAAGTAGTAGATCAGTATTTGAACCCAGGCTCTAGACTGTCATTCTTTCCAGGTTCCAGCCTCACCTGTTGCTGGCTGCATGCAGGTGGAGTGGCCGGGTCCCTACGCAGAGCTGGGGAAGCTGTCCTTTGACTCACCAACACAGCTATCTCATTAAGTTAGGGGAAGCCTATGTGATCATGACTAGATGTTCCCACCAAATAGTTCTCTGATTTTATCACCACTGTTTATAAAGACAAGGAAGAGGCAATGGGGCAATTCCTCAAGTCGGCTCCAGGAGAAACTCAGCTTTCCTCCTTTCCACCCTGCCAACCAAAGACTGGTCCCAACCATGTGACTCACAATGAGGACATGTTATTGGCCACAGTCTATTGCCAAGCTAAAGACTGGCTCCTGCTCGAATGTAGTCTCTTTCGGATAATCGAATAATCCCAGTCTATGCTGGTTCCCCTTCTCACTGGTTCTATCACATCAGGGCAAATTACCCCTGAGTCTCTCCCTGCTCTTTCTTCCTTGTGGCTGAAGTGGCTGCACCATGGAGGGTCTCAGAGCCTCCCAGCTATGCCCTTCCCTCTGTAGTAACCTCTCCATTCCACTCATCGGGATGATTAAGAGGCCAGGCCTGCTCCATGCAGTGGCGTGCTAGCCTGCTCACGCCTCCTCCCTGAATTCCCACACCTAGGCGTGGAGACAAACAATCTCTCTCCATCTGTCCTTCTCGTTCCTTTTTCTCGATCATGGCAGGTGCTTCCTGCCATAAGCAGATCATTTAATATTCCAAGCCTCAATTTCTTCATCTGTATTCCAGGGATAATGACAGTAACAATCATAGGATTGTTACATGGATCAAAGGAGATAATGTATGTAAAGACCATTAATCCAATTCTAGTCACTTAAATAATAACAATGATGGTGGTGATGATGATGAAAGTATTGTGGTCCCATGCTTAGGAGGTGGTAAGGAGAGCAGACAAAACAGTTCTTATAGTCTGATTTGGTTTAAGACCACCCTGATCAGAGGTCTTCCTACCTCAGCAAAGGAACCTTCTACATGCCCTAGGTCAGAGTCGGCAATCATTTTCTATAAAGGGCCAAATAGTAAATATTTTAGGCTTTTCAGGCCATATGAGCTCTGAAGCAATTACTCAACTCTGCCATTTAGTACAAAAGCAGCCATAGATAGTATGTAAATAAGTGATTGTGGCTTTGTTCCTATAAAATGTTATTTATAGGCCGGGCATGGTGGTTCATGCCTGTAATCCTAGCACTCTGGGAGGCCGAAGTGGGAAGACTATTTGAAGTCAGGAGCTCGAGACCAGCCTCAGCAAGAGTGAGACTCCGTCTCTACCAAAAATAGAAAAAATTTAGCCAGGCGTGGTGGTGCGTGCCTGTAGTCCCAGCTACTTAGGAGGCTGAGGCAGAAGGATGGCTTGAGCCCAGGAGTTTGAGGTTGCTGTGAGTTAAGCTGATGCCACTGCACTTTAGCCAGGGTGACAGAGGGAAACTTTGTCTCAAAAACAAACAAACAAAAAAGTTATTTATAAAAACAGGCAATGGGCTGGATTTGGCCTGCGGGCCATAGTTTGCTGACTCCTGGTTTGAAGTCTAGACTGATTCCCTGGAGGCCTAAATTGAGGTTCCCGGGGTTCTTAGGGGAGGAGCGAGTAAGACAGGACAGAGGCACATGCCCAACAACATCACAGTGGCTAGCACACATCGCAACAGGCCATCATTTTTCATCCCAGATATCATATTCCTTAGCCTTGTGGCAGCAGTGTGGAGAGGGACGGGAAGAGACACTGCTGTGGAACAATCGATCTAGTGTATGTGGAAAAAAAGGGGTCCGTGGCCCCCTGGAAGACAGATTCAGAGGCAGGAAAACAGTGGTTACTGGGTCAGGCCCTGGAGCCACAGAGACCTGAGTTCAAATCCCACTCAATGCCACTTAGCACATATTTCTTAACCTCGTTGCCTCCACTTCATTTTTTAAGTGGTAGTATAATGATGCCAAGTACAGAATGAAGTCGTGAGCATTACCTATGGTAACCCTATTAAATTCCTCACTCAGCATTTGAGACCTGTATACACTAAATGTTACCCTCTATTATTGTTATTATTTTTTTATTAATGAATCCTGGAACTTACAAGAGGGGCATGAAAGAGCCACCTTCTGCACCATTTCGTTTCCCTTCATCATTCCCCAACAGACCACAGAGTACATTTTTTGTCTGTGTATAAGCAATATTAATTACATTTATGTAAACTACTCACCATTTATGCCCAATTATCATGCAGCCAGTAATGATTTTGTACATCACGAAATGTACTAGACTAACCTGATTGTTAATTATTAATAGTTTTGTGAATTAAATCACTCAACTCAGCTCATACATACTCAGCCTTCATAGTTTGCTGCTCAGAGGTACGGCCAAGAGCTCACAGCAAGAGAGAGAGAGAGAAAGAAAGAGAGAGAGAGAGAGGGAGAGAATGAGGATTACGCTGTTAAAGGATGCCTCTCATCTTCCAAAAGAAAAATTTCTTAAGGTGTAAGTGAGGCTTACAAGAAGATGTTAGAAGTAAGAGGTTAATAATTGATGATTAAAATGTTAGAGACACATAGTATGCCCTGTCTGTACATAGTAAGTACTCACGAAATATCAGCTGAAAGAACGAATTATTTACGGAATGTATAGAGCAGCCACAGTTCAACTGGTAGGAAAGTTAAAGATGAGAACCATAAAATTGGATTCTTGTTAGAGACAGTAACCAAGGAGATTTTTATTCAGTGCTTCCAAGTGGAATTGTGTATTATTTAATTTTCAGTTTACCAATTCATTTTTCCCTTCGAACTGCTATTCATGTATACCTGTGTCCTCTCCTTATATGCATGGAATGAAAGGAAGGGTGACTTTTCAATGCATGTCTTTCTGCATAGCAAACAGATATAAGCAGCTGGGACTAAAGTCAACTACTGGTATCCTTAGTTTGGTAAATATCAAAAGTTCTTAGGCACAATTGGATCAATAAAGACAAGGGACTTCGTAGTCAGATTTCAGACCTGCAATACTTTGACTGGCTTTTCCAGTGTGCAAAACCATATCTAAGTTGTTAAGAAGTTAAATTATGATAACAGTAACACTTTCCGTCTATACTATCCCTTTAATGTTTATAAAACACTTTAACATATATTGTCATATTTAGTTTTTTTTAAATAAAGTTCAAGGAGATATCAGCTGTTCATGTTGCAAAGATGAACTGAATTTAAAAACTCGTTCTTAGTGTATTATCATGCTCTTAATGAAATAGTGGTTAAGAATGATTATGGTTTGACCACTGATGATTATTTCTATTTGCAAATCAAAAATCTCATTCAATTTTCCCTAGAAATATGTTTATATCAAAGTAGTAGACCTCAAATTGTAAGCTTTCAGCTAGCAAAGGTTTTGATATTTTTCATTGTTTAATTGGTGCCTGTTTCACCCAGAATCTGTAGCCAAAACATTTTACTTAAGAATCTTATGTGAAATACTTCCCATCTCCCTGATAGGCCAAATGAAACAAAAATATTTACTTTTTGACTTCCCTGGCCTCATGAACCTACTGTCTGAGGGCAGAAAGGGGTGGGGACAAGTATAAATACATGCAAATGTTCAATGTCACGTGAGTGCTCTGAAGGAAAAGTCCAGCATGCCATAGAAGTGAATAAAAGATCACATGAGCATGGAAGGCCTGACTAGGAAAGTGGCATTCTGAACAATCAGGGGACACCAGCTGTGACGAGAGAGGGCGCTAAGCTAAGGAGGAAAAACTGTGAGAAGGGAAGCAGGAGGAGAAGCCTTCCCTGACCCCACCTGCACCAGTTATCCTGCTGTTCACAAAGATAAATGGTGAATCATGCTATAAAGTGGTTCCCCGTTCTCCACTTTATAGCACAAGCCACCATTTGTCTTTATGCATTTATATGATTACTGAATTATTGCTTGTCTTCCCCACTAAACTGTAAATTCCACTGGGGGTGGGAATCACATTTCTTTTGCTCACTAATGAATCCCCTGCACTTGGGTCTGGCACATAGTAGATGTTCAATAAGTACTTATTGGATGAATAACTGAAAGGACACCAAAAACTAAAATAGCCACGACATTAGCTACAGCATGGCATAGCACAAATGAACAGTAAAATATGTTTGTATTATCTGTTCAGTTAAGGATATTATTGACTTGGTATTTTAGTAACTCATTATATTTCACAAATACACCCATGAGCACATATCTTGTACTATTATTAAGCTTAATTATATGAGCTCAATCATATTTTAGTTGAGAGACCACAGACTTTCCCCTTTCGTAGTATATTTTCTTTTGGACTCAGTCAGAAAGTCATCGTTTTACAGCTATAAAGTCTTCAGTTAATTGGAAATCATTAAATTTCTGGTCTTGTCAATTCAAATGTTTGGCATCTCTTTACCAGAAAATGCATAAGTATTGCTTGTTTCTGCAGATGGACTCCATGATATCATTGATGCTTTCCTCCCTAAGATACTAAAGGAATAAACAAAATGTCTAATTATGGACTTTTCTGAGATACCAGCAGGAAATGTTATATCAAAGTCAACAAGATCAAAGCACCTGGACAAGGGCTCCTGGTGTATATTCTTCTTCATCCAGGACAAGTTTGGAGCCGTACCAGAAGGCCAGTGCATAACAAAAAAAGATGAGACACCACACATATCCAGTAAAGAATCCCATCACTATCCCTTTTCTAATTCCCCAACGCTGGGCAAACACAAGATTTTTCTCATACCTGTGAAGAAAAAACATTTGAGTCAATTTCAGAAGCAGCAGCTCAAGTTACAACATATAAAATGGGCCACAATGCAGTGGTTTTACTAAATGATTATGAAATCACCCCAAAAACAGAAGCTTTAGGCAAAGAAATCTACGATAACCTCTACGTAGTTATTTAAAGTTTGTTCTAACTTGACAATGAAACATGTTGAAAGGATGATGCTTAACAAAGCCTCATAGATGATTGCTGCTTGGATTGCATAGTAGGGTAAGCTTGGCCCCAAGAGAAAAGAATTTTCAACACAGATATTTGGACATAAGAGATCTAGTACTGTTTGTGTTTGAATTGTTTCCTTGAGTCACATGACATGTTTTCTATCAGAACAGAATGCACTTGGTTCCATATAAGCAGGTCTGACTGGTTGGGTGTTTCCAGCTCCCCAGGCTTGGAACCAGTGTTGGCACCAACTCATCTATGAATACTCCCTCATCTGCCCTGTGGCCAAGATGCTGTGCTGTGACGTACTGGTCAGGTTCACAGCCACGGGACCTGAATAACTGAAACCATGTGGGAATTCAATGCAAGGACTAGGCTTCAGTAATTCTGTGATCCAGCCATGAACAATGGGCATTGTCTCATATATAGCATAGGCATTTGGAAACCACCTTCCTTCATCTCAAAAATTAAATTCATGGAGCCCTTTTAATCTTTCACAGGACACAAGCTAAAGGGCTACCCTATGTTTTTTTAAAAACTTTTTTTAAATTTAATTTACTTTTTTTTTTAACTACATTTGTCAACATACCCTATGTTTGTTATCATTTTTAAAACACTACACTGCCCCTTTTACTAACAATAAAAGATAACATCTTTTATGGTGGAAGAAATACGCTATTGAAATTTTTTATGAGAAATTAGGTAACCTCACCCCACAAACCAAGAGAAGTGAAAAAAACAAACAAGGAAAAGAGGATAGAGATTGCAAATCCTATTCTCTTTTTCATTTGGTAAATATGGTAGCAACTGAGAATGACATCATCTTACTAGATCTACAACACATAAAATAAGAGTTTCCATTTAGTTGGTGGTTATTTTATTAAATCAGTGCATGGTACATGGTAAGCACTCAATAAAAATTAGATAAATTAAAGAATAAATAAATCGTATTTTTTACAACTCTGTTGTTTTGGCCACTTGGGTTTTTATTTTCATTAAGAATCTCTAGAATGATGGTCTATAATACACCAACACCAAATTTGTTTGATTGAATGGAAATCTTATCAGCCTTTATAAAGAGCATGTACCACAGTGGCTGAATAAAATGTATTTAATAAAACAAGTATTCAATAAAAATGTGTGAAATTACATTTTGGATTGTGCTACCTTTTCTTTATTATTATTATTTTTAAAATAATAAATATTGCATATATATGGTATACATGATGTTTTAAATTATGTATACATTATGGAATAGCTAAGTCAAGGTAATTAACATATGCATTACCTCACATACTTATCTTTTTTGTGTGTGTATAGTGAGAATACTTAAAAGCTACTCTCTTAGAAATTTTTAAGTATACGACACATTGTTATTAACTATAGTCACCATGTTGTACAACAAATCTCTTGAATTTATAAACTGCCTCTCATGTGAATGAGAAAAGGGTTTTTTAAAAATCACCATGAGCTGAATTAAAATAATTACAATTAGATAATAAATAATTATTAAAACAATCTCTTGCACTTATTACTCCTGCCTAACTGAAATTTTATATCCTTTGGCCAACATCTCCTCAGTCCTTGCCTGATAACCCCTGCCCCCCACCCCTGCCAAAGCCCCTGGTAACCACCATTTTGCTCTTTGCTTCTATGAGTTTAACTGTTTTTTTTTTTAAATCATATAGTACTTGTTTTTCTGTGGCTGGCTTATTTCACTTAACATAATGTCCTCCAGGTTCATCATGTTTCTGCAAATGGATTTCCTTATTTTCCTAAGGCTTAATAGTATTCCATTGTGTGTATATATATCACATTTCTTCATCCATCATCTGTTGATTGACACTTAGGTTGATGCCACATCTTAGTTATTGTGAATAATGTTGCAATGAGCATGAGAGTGTAGATATCTCTCAACATACTAATTTCATTTTCTTTTGATATATACCCAGTGGTGGAATTGCTGGATCATATAGTAGTTCTATTTTTAATTTTTTGAGGAATCTCCACACTATTTTGGCTGTACTAATTTACATTCACACCAATAATGTACTGGGGTTCCCTTTTCTGTACATCTTTGCCAACACTTCATATCTTTCTTCTTTTTGACAATAGCTTTTCTAACAGGTGTGAGGTGTTATCTCATTGAGGTTTTGACTTGCATTTCCCTGAATGACTAGCAATGTTTGACATCTTTTCATATCCCTGTTGTCCATTACTATGTCTTGAGAAATGCCTATTCAGGTCCTTTGACCATTTTTTAATCAGGTTGTTTTCTTGCCATTTAGTTGTTTGAGTTCCTTATATACATTGGATATTAACCCCTATGCATGGTTTGAAAATATTTTCTCTCATTCTGTAAATTGTCTGTTCACTCTGTTGATTGTCTCCTTTGAGAAGATTTTTGGTTTGATGTAATCCCATCTGTCTATTTTTGCTTTTATTGCCTGTGCTTTTGAGGTCATAGTCAAAAAGTCATTGCCTAGACCAAGGTCATAGAGCTTTTCCCCTATGCGTTCTTCTGGTAGTTTAGTTTTAGGTCTTACATTTAAGTCTTTAATCCATTTTGAGTTGATATTTGTGAGATAAGAGTCTAATATTATTCTTCTGTATGTAGATATCTAGTTTTCCCAACACTATTTATTGAAGTGACTGTCCTTTCCCCATTGTGTGCTCTTGGCAACTTTGTTGAAAAATATGTGACTTAATTCTGGGTTCTCTATTCTGTTCCACTGGTCTATGTGTCTATTTTTACGCCAGTACCATGCTGTTTTGATTACTATAGCTTTGTAGTAGATTTTGAGATCAGGTAGTGTAATGCCTCTGATTTTGTTCTTCTTGCACAAGATTGCTTTTACTATTTGGGATCTTTTGTGGTTGTATTTTAGCATTTTAAAAAATTTCTGTGAAAAAAATGTCATTAGAATTTCAATAGGGACTGCATTGAATCTGTAGATTGTTGTGGGTAGTATGGACATTTTAACAACATTAATTCTTCCATTTCATAAATATGGGGGATCTTTCCATTTATTTGTGTCTTTTTCAATTTCTTTCATCAATGTTTTATAGTTTTCGGTGTACTGTGGTTAAACTTATTCCTATTTTGTAGCTATTGTAAATAAGATTGCTTTCCTGGTTTCTTTTGCTGACAGTTCATTGCTAGTGTATGTAAATGCTATTGATTTTTGTATGTTGATTTTTGTACCCTGAAACTCTACCAATTTTGTTTATTACTTCTAACAGTTTTTTGGTGGAGTCTGTAAGGTTTTCTATATATAAGAACATGACATCTGAAGTCAGAGACAATTTAACTTTTTTCTTTATGATCTGGATGCCTTTTATTTCTTTCTCTTGTTTAATTCCTCTGGCTAAGACTTCAAGTACTATGATGACTAGAAGTGATGAGTGGGAATTTTTGTCTTATTCCTGATCTTAAGAGAAAAGTCGTTCAAATTTTCACTGCACAGTATGATTTAGCTGTGGGCTTATAATATATGGCATTTATTGTGCTGATGTACATTCTTTCTATACCTAATTTTTTGAGAGTTTTTACCATGAAAGGATGTTGAATTTTGTCAAATGCTTTTTCATCATCAATCAGATAATCATATAGTGTTTGTATTTCATTTTGTTAATGTGTACCACATTTATTGATGTGGCTGTGTTGAATTATCCTTGTATTCCA